CAGAGCTTCCCTCTCTCTATCTCTCTCTCACACTCACTCTCTCTCTCCTCCCTCTCGCCTACTTTCTGCTTTGTTTCGAGCTAGACGACGATTTCTTCCTACACGCCTTCAGATTGTCCAACAGATATTTGAACTGTATGATCTGAAGCCTGGTGACCGCCGGCTCGGAGCATTTGTCCAACCACTTGAAGAACTTCTCGCCGTGCTCGATCGCCTCCTCTGTGCTACTCGGTACATCTGCAGCATTAGTCTCAACCCCGTCCTCCGTTGCTGCCGATTCCTCGTCCATGTTCAAGCTACGTTTCACGTTCTCGTTGTTGTTGTTGCACAATACATTGTCCAACATAGCTCTCGCCTTGCTCGGCGATTTTTTCGCCACCGGACTGGGCGCCAGAGGTGTAGTCGGCGTTATCATAGGGAAGCTGCACTGCTTGTACCACTGCCAGAACCACGAGCCATCCTGCTGATTGATGCTTGGGTTGAAACTAGCCGACTGTTGACCGAGCAGCTGTTGCTGCTGCGTCAGCCACAACCATAACGCCTCGTCCACCTTCTTGTTCCCGCTGCTCACGTTCCCGTCCTTCTTCGGCTTGCTCGACGACCGTTGAATACTGTTGTTCTCGTTCGTCTTTCTAGGACTAGCGGGAACAGGTGTCGACGGTGCTTCCGCCGCCGGTGGTAGACTCTTTCGTGTGCCGCATGATTTCGCCACTACAGAATCCATCTGTGCAGGTGCGATCGCCGAGATGCTATGCCTCTTGTTGCTGCCGCCGTTCAAATTATTAGACGCGTTCGTAATACAGGCGTTACCGGTGTTCTTAGTATACTGAAGACCGTTTTCCACCAGACCGACAGTGCTGCCATGCGACAACGACGGCGACATACTCAAAAGATTCTTCGCGAGCGTACCTGTGGCGCCAGACAACAGGCCCAGTTGTTGTAGCAGCAGTGAACTATTTTCGGGTCTCATGCCCGCCATGCTGGTCATCAGTCCTACGTAATCGATCTTCGGTTTGTTGTCCTGCTTACCATCCGAGTCGGTACAAACGTCACCTACGAACGATGTACCCGCACTAGTTACCGACGTCTGTTGATCCATCTTCGACTTTTTCACGCAGGGACCCTCGTCTTCGCTGGACAGATTCGCCGATCCGCCGGCTAGATTACCGGCTGCGACGTTCGCGCCAGACGACGACGCTGGTGAATGTGCCTCGCTGTCAGGTGTCGATGAATTCCTCGCCATACCACGAATCTTATGCTCGGACTTGCACCATCCACGTAACGTCGACTCCGGCACACCGATATCCCTAGCGACGGACGCTTTACTCTCACCTTCGTGAACCCTCTGGATCGCGTCCATCTTCTCTGACGCGGAGAGCGCCCTTAAAGGGCGCTTACCGGGTCGCGCCGACTCGCCCCTCATCCCGGCGAGACAATTATCTTTCGCGTCCTCCCGCAAACGATCCTCGTAACCACCGTCCTCCGTCGTGGTAATAAACTCGTCTGTCACTACTATCGGATCTATCGCGATGATTCTACGATCCCTACCGCGTGTTCTATGTAATATTCGATGATCTATAGGATCGTCCACGTAAACGTCCAAATTTGTCGTCCTTAGATCCAGATTGAACGATTTTCTCTTCACCTCACTACGATTTTCTTCAAACAACTTTCTACACGCGTGTTCTCTGCTGCGGTTAGTTGGTTTCTTTTTTCAAGGAGAGTTCTTCGCGCGAATCTCCAACACACAAACACACAGGGCGCAGCACACAGAGATGTATATAAGACACACGCGAGGCGAGTATACACAGGCACAGTTGAAAAGAAAGACAAAGAAGATTCTTTCTCGTTCTATAAACGTGCTGTTTTCTTCTTCCTTCGTTTCGAACGAACCTCTCTCTCTTTCTCGTGCTCCTTTTTGTTTCTTCTCTTCTTTCTTCGTTTCTCCTTATTCGTTTCACCAAAGCCAAGCCAAGCGATCGTTCGTTCGTTCGCGTTGTTACGAAGCGTCACCGTGCCTCGAGCAGTCTTGTGACGCGCGAGAAGGCGATCGATCGACGTTCACGTTCCAGATCGCGCCATCCGACTATATCGGGCCTGCGTGTGGACACGCGAGGAATTCCAATTGCTCGTCCGCGAGACAGCGGACACACGCGCGACGTGCCCGATAAAGAAAGAGAGAGCCGATGCGCGCTCCAACACCACCGCCACACCACTGTCCTTCTTCGACCGTTGTCCGATTCGATGAGCGTCGATAAGGTGTTCCCGATACGACACCGTGCAATTGCAACAACCTTCGCCACAAGAACAACGGTCACGACGACGACGACGATATTCACTCTATTCGACGACAACTGGTTACACGTAGAAGAATCACAACGGTAATAATAACAACGATAATAATAAAGTGGAAGTGTAAAGAAGACTAGGACAACGTAGACCACGATGGCAACGGCAACGATACGGGAGAGATCCGTACGCCGTACCGTTGCCACGGCGTGTGGCAGCGATTCGTATCTCGCGCAGTAGTAAATAATACCGTGTGTAAACGTGGTTACGCCGGTCGGGGGAGGTCCTCCTCCGTGGAATAGCACATGCGCTCACAGAGAGTAATAAAGAACTTTTTTATGAATGAAACAACTCGGTCGGCCGGTTCCCCTCTTCGTGTCTACCGTCCTCCCCCCTCCTCTCACTCACTCTCTCTCGCTCTTTCTGTTCGCCACACTTCTCCGCACACGGCGCACACCAGACACCGCCACCTCCTCCTCTCTTGCTCTTGCTCAGCACACCTCTCTCTCTCTCTTTCCACTTCTTCGTTTCTTCTTCCCGCACACGGCGCACACCAGACACCGCCACCTCCTCCTCTCTTGCTCTTGCTCAGCACACCTCTTTCTCTCTCTTTCCACTTCTTCGTTTCTTCTTCTTCTTCTTCTGCTGCTGTTGCTTCTGCTTCTACTACTCCTTTTCGTTCCGTCTTCGTTTATACGGTGTTCTTCTCTCTGTCTCACTCTGAACACGTTCTCGGCGCTAGCGCGAGTAAAACGGGGCACGTTGCTTTGCTGTTCCGCTGTTCTTCGTTCGCGGCCACATCAGCCAATCCGCAGTCCGCGCGGGAAACGATATTATTGCTGTACCACGAGGAATAGCGGCAGCGTTAGAGAAAGATGGAATTCGCGTGGGACAAAGATGAGGATATAGACACAGACACACGTAAACAGACGATTTGGCGGTGAGGTCTCTAAACGGGAGTCAGATCAGTTTTCGTCCTCGCGTTATTTGATGTACACACAAACGACGAGTTTCTTCTTCGCTGTGTTTCCCTTTTCTTCGGTCGTTTCTCCTGTATCTCTCTCTCTCCCTCTCTCTTTCTGCGTGCGTACACGTTCGTTTATAGTTTCCTACGTGGTTGGATGCGATGGCGTCTTGTCTCGCCTCGTCTCGTCCACGATGATTGCGCGCGTGTCCGCCGTCGTCGTAGTCTCCCTCGACGTGTGCGTATTAGTGGACTCTGGTGCCCGCTGCGTGCGTTCAGAGCTCCCGAGCCAGCGACAGAGATACCACTGATCAGCCGCGAGACAGAGACGCTGCCAGAGCGAAGGGAAAAAAAAGCACACACAGTCCCCGACGCAACGACTCGACGAAAGGACGGCCGTCAAGGACAAACGTGAAACACCCGTTTCGTTGCGCACCGTGAAAGCACAGTGGAATTTTCGGCTATTCTGAAATTCTTCTCAACTCCGTTCGACGATCTTGATGTTTCTTTTACAGACGATCGATCGATCGGTCCAGAATTTTATTCACCGCGGAAAAACACCGTGCTTCGAATTTGTTCAAAATCCAGAGAGTTTTATAGCGTGACTCTTTTATCTTTATTTCAACCACCGGATAAATATCGTGCTTTAATCGTGGCACACAGAAGAAGCCTCTCTTCGACACTGATCAATTCTCACTTAGTTCTTTTGTATCCACTTTCTTTTCGTCACGTGGACAAAATCAAGAAAAACGGAAAAATGCTTGCTTACGCGTAAACGCGTGATCGTGCTCCGAATTGCGGAATCAAATAACGTTCACTGTCGTCGCGTTTCTATTCCAAATATCCACGCGGCCAATATAGAATACGTGTGCCCAATGATCACGACGATAATACAAGGATATTAAAAAGAAACACTAAAAGAAGAGCACACGGTGACACCGGCGATCCTCACCTGACGGTGGATCGACCTCGACTGAACCGCCGGTGTGTGTGCCGCCGCGTCGTTCGTCTCCGTCCGCTGGCTTCGCGTGTGTAACTGCCGCTTTTAGGGGCGCACGTCGCGTCGCCTCTCGACCGTCGAACACTCTGATCGGCAGCGATCAGAGAGTGTCGATCCGCCCGGTTCTACAGCTCGCAGCTAACTGTTTCGTTGTGTGTATGCGTGTACGGTATATTACTACACACGGGTCGCGTTCGTTTGGTGGCGCGGCGTACCGCGGGGCGATATAGTGGTGGTAGTGGTCGCCGAACGGTGATAGTAGTGGGGAGAGGGGGGAGAGCGCGAGAAGCCAAGCAGCAACGCACGATGCTCTCGCGACGAATCGCGACGCTCAACTGCGGCGGTGGTCGCCGCCGGCTTTCCGCGGACTCGCGACGCCGTCTTCTCTGCTCCCCGCCCCTCCCCACCACCACCCGGACTTCCCATCGCCGTGCGGCACCGCGCCATTCGGCCCTCCGTCGTCCCTCGCCCCACTCCTCCCCCCGCCAAGCGCTGTCCTATCCGCCGCAGCCCAGCTTGCGCCTCGCCTTGTGCCTTGCCTTGCCATGCCTTGCCATGCCGCGGCGCGCGTCTTGCTTTAGCCTCGCCGTGCCTCTCGTCTTGCCTATACCTTCCTCGCTTCTTCTCTACGCTACCTATCGTCCCTTCCTGACCCCCGTATTCCCTCCCTCCCTCCCTCGTATCCCCGTGTCTTCGTTCAGCCGCCCTTCCGCTAGTCCCCACCGTCCCTCTCTCGCACACTTTCATCCTTTTCGTCCCTCGGCGTGTTCCTTCAGCCGGTGCTGTCGAACCGCGCGCTTCTCTCGTTTCCTTCACCCCTCCTCCACACCGGCGCCCTTATCCGCTGGAAACCCCTCTTCTTACTCTCTCGCTCTTTCTCTCTCTCTCGACGTCCAACACGACCCTCTCCGTATTTTCTCAACCGTCCTCGTCGTCGTCATCCTCCTGCTCCTCCTCCTCCTACTTCTCTTAGTCGACGTCTACGACGAGGTTCTTCGTCCTTGCGGACACGCGACGTATAGACGAGACACGACGGTGTAATGGTATTGGTAATTCGCGTGGTTTCGAAACTTTCGCGATGTAGGTGTTGCACGGATTAGAAAGAACGATAACGTAAATTTGATACGATCGCGATATTTCACGGAATATCTATACGTTGGTTTTTTTTTCTCGTCCGTCTGTCTTCTTTGTCAGAGAGAAAAGAATATATTCGAGAGAGACTTTTTCACTCCACGTGTATAACCATGGATCGCCTTCGTCTTCGAGGCTCGGCGTGTCCGAGTTTCCGGTCGGCCGAGCGTTCGCGCGGCGCGGTGCGGCGAGGGAACCGAGGCTCTCTCGCCGCGGCCTGCTCGCCTCGTCTCTCCCCGTCTCGTCTCGCCTCGCCTCGCCTGGCCGCGCTGTGCTGCTGCTGCTCGCCTCGCCGCTCGGTCGTCGTGAAATTTACGAGCGACGCGATTTTTTCGCCCGGTGTCCCGAACGCTCGTTTAATTTCCCGCGATTCCTAGGATCTCTCGCCATTTTTCCCCCTCTCTCTCTCTCTCTCTCTCTCTCTCTCTCTCGCTCTTTCCATCCTCTCTTCCCTGAAATATATAGTCGTGAAAGAGGAAAGGGACGAGGAGGAGGAGGAGGACCGAACCCGTGGCAAAACCCTTAAATCCGACCCTCCGCCTCTCTTCTCCCCCTCTCTCCCTCCCCCCATGGCTAACCGGTGGCGGCGCGCACGCGGCCCCTAGGGAAGAGGCGGATTTATGAGCGCGGCCTAAAATCCGTACGCGACGGAGTTACGAAGCCAGAGGCCGCCGCGGCGTGTAAGAAGGGAACGTCGCGGTAATTCGCGGATAAATTTACCGTGCCTCTCTCTCTCTCTCTGCTCTCGTGTATTTACCGTCGTAAATACGTACCGCCGGACAACCAACCGGCACCTACGTCCATTTCTTTTTTCACGATGGAACGAGTAAGTCAGCGGCCCTACCCCTCTCGCGACTCGATAATTATCGTGAACGCTCGCGCGCATATATATATATATATACGCAGGATCGTCGTCAACCACGCACGTTCACATTCGACGGCGTTGAACCAGTGTGCGGTGGCCGCGGCGCGACCAGCTTTGGCCTTCTCGATGTGGCGTCGAGTCCCACTTTGCTCGCCCGTATGACGGTGACTAGGA